TTCTTTGCGGTTTCTCTGTCGGGGGTTAATGACTTCACACCTTAACGACCATGTGTCTCACAAATGGCTGATAAAAGACTCGGCCACCAAATGCCTTCTGGGTAAACATGCGACCACTCAGTCTAAACTGGCCCTAAAGGTCAAAGCAGTAGCGTTTTGTTCATGTGGAGCTGATGTACACGTTTGAGTCGAGTACTTTCCTTTTTCCAGCTCTCAGCCGGGCGGCTCACACCTGCTGTGGCTTAATGCGCTCAGTTTAGGCCTCAGACGTCACAGGAAACAACAAACCACAGCTGTAACTTTATATGAAAGAGTTCTGACTCGTAGCTCGTAGAAACAAGTGGAGAAAGTCTGAGCTTCCGGTCCAGACCACTCTGGAGGAGGAGATATTTTATTATGATTTGAATTTGATGAAAGGTTGTTGTGGTGTATGAGGTCCTGGACTGGGTTGCCCCAGGTCTGCGTAGGTTAATACTGACGTTTGGGCGTCTTTAAGTCTTTACTAAGTCCTTAGTTATACTAGTTAGTTTCAAACTATCCTTTTACTAAATTTGGTTGCATCACAAATCCATAAGTCGTGTCTTAACTTGTAATGACTAACTAACGCGTACGTCACTTTAACATGGTTTCCCCAACACTTGCACCTGCTCAGGGGGGTGTTAAAGCAATAAGACATGAGAGGCTGTGCGTCACTATGATTGTATCACGGGGAAGGGTGTTGTTAGGCATGGCATGAAGTGGAGTAAAACCACAAATAAAATCACAGTAATGCACAGCCTTAAGTGGCCTATTGCTTTTATAAATACAGCTAAGATTCAGACACCTCCACACTCGATAAATGATGCACTGTTTGGCTGTAAATGCTAGAATTCCTAAACTTTCATAGCTAGAACTTTATTTACGGGAGTATGGAGCCGTTTGGGATTCAGCCTGGGTTCTTCTGACTTCTGGACAAACATGAACATTTGAAGCGTGTCTAAGAGTGACACTTTTAGACTTTTATACTGCAGTTTTACACTTAATCATACTGTAAGTGCTTTAATTCAAGCCTGTGATATTAATGATGGAGCTGTTTAGGCTGTTGGCTGTTTTAGCCTGTTAGCTAGCTGAACAGCCTGGTTCTAGATAAGAACATAAGTTGCCAGCCCCTCAGTTTAAATAAAAAATGAAAAGCCAGATATATACAGAAAATAGGAGATAAGAGAAAATGATGGAGTGATGATCTGGAGAAAAAACACAAACCAGAAAACTGTCTCGATCCTCTGGAGCCTCCAGACTTGATCTTTATTTACCTTTACCTGTGATGAAGAGCTGAGAGGGAGAGCTCTGTTCTCTCTCTCTCTCTCTCTCTCTCTCTCTCTCTCTCTCTCTCTCTCTCTCTCTAGTTCAAGTTTGCTTTATTGACATGACAAATGTACATTTGTATTGTCAAAGCACAACAAAAATGATCTATATATCAAAGGTTAATTACAAAAAAAATAAATAAATAAATCAAAAAATAATAAATAAATCAAAATACAAACCAAGATTGATATATGATAATGTGATAATTAAGAGGAGAAAGTGTTAATCATCAATTAATAATATAAAAGTATATGGAATAATAAAACAAAACCTGTTGAATATGTGTGTAGTTTGTAACAGAAAAGAGAAAAAAATGTTAATAATCAAATATATTTATGTGATTAAGAAGGGAAAAAATAAAAACGGACATTAATATTACATATGTACATATATAACAAAGAGTAGGAGAAGCTTGTCTTCCTCTGCCAGTGAGCCGCCCAGCAACAAATCAAATAAAGCCTCGCAATCACTGCATCTCCATCTAAAGGACAGATAAGAAGCAGAGACGAGAGAGCTGACCAGCAGTGTCCAGCACAGAGACTGTCACTACAACAGCTACGCGGCAACAGAGCCTCAGGAGAGCGACAGTTAGGACAGTTAGGACAGCTACTAGTTACTATACTAATTACTACAGTTAATGAGTTAGTCTGATTACTACAGTTAGTGCAGTTAATACAGGTAGTACAGTTAATACAGTTAGTCAAATTACTACAGTTAGTACAGCTACTAGTTACTATACTAATTACTACAGTTAATGAGTTAGTCTGATTACTACAGTTAGTGCAGTTAATACAGTTAGTACAGTTAATACAGTTAGTCTAATTACTACAGTTAGTACAGCTACTAGTTACTATACTAATTACTACAGTTAATGAGTTAGTCTGATTACTACAGTTAGTGCAGTTAATACAGTTAGTACAGTTAATACAGTTAGTCAAATTACTACAGTTAGTACAGCTACTAGTTACTATACTAATTACTACAGTTAATGAGTTAGTCTGATTACTACAGTTAGTGCAGTTAATACAGTTAGTACAGTTAATACAGTTAATACAATTAGTCAAATTACTACAGTTAGTACAGCTACTAGTTACTATACTAATTACTACAGTTAATGAGTTAGTCTGATTACTACAGTTAGTGCAGTTAATACAGTTAGTACAGTTAATACAGTTAGTACAGTTAATAAGTTAGTCTAATTACTACAGTTAGTACAACTACTATTTACTATACTTAGTCTAATTACTATAGTTAATGAGTTAGTATAATTACTACAGTTAGTACAGTTAGTATCATTAGTACAGTTAGTCGAATAACTATAGTTAGTCTAATTACTATAGTTAGTACAGTTGCTTCAGTTACTACAGTTGGTACAGTTAGTCTAATTATTACAGTGACAATTAGTACAGCTACTAATTACTACAGTACTATAGTCTATTTACTACACTTAGTCTAATGACTACAGTTTCTACAGTTAGTCTAAATACTACAGTTAATTTAGTCTAATTACTACAGTTAGTATAGTTAGTACAGTTAGTCTAATTACTAGTTATTTTAGTCTAATTACTACAGTTAGTCTGAAATCTACAGTTAATAACCATTAGTCTGATTACTACGGTTAGTGTAGTTAGTCCAGTTAGTCTGATTACTAAACTTCGTACAGTTGCTATCGTTAGTCTGATTACCATAGTTAGTACAGTTAGTCTAGGAAGTACAGCTAGTACAGTTAATCTCCGTTAGAAAAGTTAGTCAAACTAGTACAGTAGGTACAATTTGTCAGATTACTACAGTTAGTCTAGTTAGTGCGTCTAGTCTGGTTAGTCTAGTTAGTGCGTCTAGTTGTAGTTCTGTCTGGTTAGTAAACTGAGTGTAACTGTGTAGTTTATTATATCATTTCATCACTGAGTTTAACTACAGCTTCCAAAACCAGGTCAGGAGTTCATACAGGGCTAAATGGGAATAATCACAACCTCTCATAAAGAACTGGATACTCTCTCTCTCTCTCTCTCTCTCTCTCTCTCTCTCTCTCTCTCTCTCTCTCTCTCTCTCTCTCTCTCTCCCTCTTCACTGTGATTAGTCATTTGGAACTGTTTTTTTTGGTGATTATGTGAGCATTTTGTAATGAGCGCATGGCAGTAAAGCCAGTGAACATTCCAGCCTTTCATTTAGCTTTGAAAACACGACGAGCGCTGCCAGGAAGAGAGAGCGTGTGTGTGTGTGTGTGTGTGTGTGGTTCTGACGGCCGATCTGGCGTGATTGTGTTTGCGGTATTATATCACATATTTCTGAGCTTTATCACAGACTCAGATCTCTGCTGACCGACTGTAGCCCTACTGATTCACAGTCACTGAGCTTTAGGAGCTCTTTACATTTTACAGTGTCTCTCTCTCTCTCTCTCTCTCTCAGTTCAGTTCAAGTTTGCTTTTTTGACATGACAGAGTTTATTTTGTCAAAGTACTGCAGAAATGATCTATGTATTACAAGTTAAATAAATAAATAAATAAAGTACAAAACCAGGATGAATGTGTAGCAGTACAGCAGTTAAGTAGAGTAAGTGTTAATTATCGATTGATGATATAAAAGTATATACAATAATAAAACAAAACTTATTTGATATGTGTATGTAGTTTATAACAGGAGAGGGAAGAACGTTAATTATCAAATATATTCATGTGATTTAAGAAGGGAAATAAAGCAAAACAAAGAAAAAACACACCTGTATCACCTGTAAATAACAGTGAGTAAAGGAAAAGGCTGTGGTGTGGTGGTCACTCGCTGTCCCGGAGTGAGTGACACTCGTACACATATCTGGCTGCAGTGGACGCTGATGCACCCTCTCCTGATATAAGCAATGATTATCTTCATCCCCCAATGCTCTCTCCTCTTCTCTTCTCCTCCCTTCTCTCTTCTTCGCTTCTTCTTTTCTCTTCCCTTCACTTCTCTTATTCTTTTTTTCTCTTCTCTCCTCTTCCCTTCTTCTCTTCTCTTCTCATCTCTTCTCTTCTTTCCTCTTCCCTTCTTCTCTTCTCTTCTTCTTTTTTCTTTTCTCTCCTCTTCCCTTCTTCTCTTCTCATTTTTCTCTTCTCTTCTTTCCTCTTCCCTTCTTCTCTTCTCTTCTCTTCTCTTCTCTTCTCATCTCTTCTCTTCTTTTCTCCTTTTTTCTCTTCTCTTCTCCTTTTTCTCTTCTCTTCTCCTTTTTCTCTTCTCCTGTCTTCTCTTCTCTGCTCTTCTCCTTTTTCTCTTCTCCTCTCTTCTCTGCTCTTCTGTCTACAGAAAGGAACTACTGAACTACGGAAATACTGTCTACAGAAAGGAACATCTTAATATATACACAGCAGTCGTCACAAATATCAGTGCCTATAAACAACAAAACTATAAACAGAGAAATTAGCAGACAAACTGAAATGTTTATTAAATTAATTAGGTTGTTTTATTAAAATGAGAATTGCTCGTACACTAATGCCGTCAAAAGTTTGAGAATATTTATTCAGAATATACTTAAAAACTCATTAAGGGAAATGACAACAATTACATTGTAACTATTAGAAAGTTCCTGTTGTTTAAATGTAATTACATAATTGATTACACACTTACATCTTGAGTAATTAATTACTCTCTCTCTCCCTCTCTCTCTCTCCCTCTCTCTCTCCGTGCAGGTTCCTACATGATGGTGGACTCGTCTCAGCACGACCCTGGAGAGAAAGCTCGTCTGATGCTGCCGGTGATGAAGGAGAACGACACTCACTGTATCGACTTTAACTACCTGCTGTTCAGCCCCGACGGCTCCAGCCCCGGAGCGCTCAACGTCCTGGTGAAGGTCAACAAAGGCCCGCTGGCCAACCCCATCTGGAACATCACCACGCACACCGGAAAGGACTGGAAGAAGGCCGAGCTGGCCGTCAGCACCTTCTGGCCCAACGAGTACCAGGTAAACCGACCGACCAATCAGATTAAAGAAAGGCCTCTGCGTGATGCTTGTCTTGTCTTGTCTTGTCTTGTCTTGTCTTCCCCTCTTCTCTTCTCTTCTCTTCTCTTCTCTTCTCTTCTCTTCTCCTGTCTTCAGTTCTCTCCTCTTCCATTATCTTCTCTTCTCCTGTCTTCGCTTCTCTCCTCTTCCATTATCTTCTCTTCCCCTCTTCGCTTCTCTCCTCTTCTATTCTCTTCTCTCCTCTTCCTTTCTTCTCTTCTCCTCTCCTCTCCTCTCCTCTCTTCTCTTCTCCTGTTTTCTCTTCTTTTCTCTCCTCTCCTCTTCCTTTCTTCTCTTCTCCTGTTTTCTCTTTTCTTATCCTCTCTTCTCCTGTTTTCTCTTCTCTTCCCTTCTCTTCTCTTCTCCTGTTTTCTCTTCTCCTCTCTTGTTTTCTCTTCTCTTTTCCTCTCCTCTCCTCTCTTTTTTGTGAGTATCTGTTCTTTACTCAGTGCTCTGAGACTCTGGCTGGGCACGCTGTGATTATCAGTGATCATAGAGCTGCATTGTTTTTTCTGAGTGTGTTTTGTGTGTAAATCCTGCTTTTGTGCTCAGATTTTCTCTCCAGCTTTACTGTCACTGATGAATTCAGTAATTATGCTGAGATGATGTCGGCCGTGAACCAGCCGTCCTGACTGTGTGTGCGTAATTAGAAATTCATGCACTTAGATTATTTGTGTGTGAAATGCCACGAAGCTGCCAAGCTCTTAAATCTCTCTCTCTCTCTCTCTCTCTCTCTCTCTCTCACACACACACACTCACTCACACACACACACACACACACACACACTCACTCACACTAACACACTCACTCACTCTTACAGTCAGTCAGACTCTCCGAATGCCATTCAGGGTCGATTAAATAATTTCACTCTTTCTTCATTATGAATTTCTCTCTCAGTAATTATAATCATAACTAACGTTTGTCATTCATTAAATCTACAGGCAGACTGTTAAACCTTCTCTGCCTGATTACCCACTGATTGATTAGTAGATTACTGATTGTTGTTAATTAATTAGAGATCATTGTTTAGCCTGTTACTGATACCACTTCTGATAATCAATAATATTAAATGATATTATATAATAATGATAAGAATTTAGTTTTAAACAGAGCTTTACAGACTGATATGCCTGTCAGTGATCACTGATAAAGTTTCTGCGTTTATTATTAAAAACATAATCCAGGAATAAATACTGTTATTCATTCTTCTCCTCTACTCTCTTTGTTCTCCTCTCTTCTCTTTTCTTCTCCTCTCTTCTCTTCTCTTCTCCTCTCTTCTCTTCTCTTCTCTTCTCTTCTTTTCTCCTCTCTTCTCCTCTCTTCTCTTCTCTTTTATTTTTCTCTTCTCTTCTCTTTTTTCTCTTCTCTTCTCCTCTCTTTTATTATTCTCTTCTCCTTTCTTCTGTTCTCCTCTCTTCTCTTCTCTTCTCCTCTCTTCTCTTCTTTTCTCCTCTTCTCTTCTCTTCTCCTCTCTTCTCTTCTCTTCTCCTCTCTTCTCTTCTCTTCTCTTCTCTTCTTTTCTCCTCTCTTCTCCTCTCTTCTGTTCTCTTCTCTTTTATTTTTCTCTTCTCTTCTCTTTTTTCTCTTCTCTTCTCCTCTCTTTTATTATTCTCTTCTCCTTTCTTCTGTTCTCCTCTCTTCTCTTTTATTCTTCTCTTTTCTTCTCTTCTTTCATTCTCTTCTCTTCTGTTCTCTTTTATTCCTCTCTTCTTTTCTTTACTGAGTGGTTTATTGTGGTTGTTAAAATCACTGGATGCAGATGCAGGAAAGATTCTACTTAGAAATGAATCAAACAGAGAGACTATATTAACTCTCTCTCTCTCTCTCTCTCTCTCTCTCTCTCTCTCTCCCTCTCTGAATAATGAAAGGCTCTGTTTGTGTTGGTCTAATTGGGAGTCCTGACTGATTCTCATTTACTCTCTTCCTCCGTCCGTCGTGTGTGTTTCTCTCTCTCATCTGTGTGTGTGTGTGTGTGTGTGTGTGTGTGTGTGTGTGTGTGGTAGAGCTGCACACTGCAGTCAGACTACAGTATTGCAGTTATGTTGCTACATACAGTATTACAGTTGTCTATCCATTATAATATAAACACACTGGAAAACCTGAAAGACACATGATTAAAGAGAGAGTTTGGCAAAGATATCAAATTTACCCAGAATCCCCTTTTCCTAGCCCCCTCTTCTCTTCTCTTCTCTTCTCTTCTTCTGTTATATTCTCTTTTCTTGTTATCTTCTCTTCTCTCCTCTTCTCTTCTCGTTTTCTCTTCTTTCCTCTTCTTTTCTCTTCTCTTCTCTTCTCTTTTTCTCCTCTGTCCACTTCTCTTCTCTTCTCTTCTCTTCTCTCCTCTCTTCTTCTCCTGTCTTCTCTTTTTCTCCTCTTTCCACTTCTCTTCTCTTCTCTTCTTATCTCTTCTCTTCTCTCCTCTCTTCTTCTGTTCTCTTCTCTTCTCTTTTTCTCCTCTTTCCACTTCTCTTCTCTTCTCTTTTCCTCCTCTTTCCACTTCTCTTCTCTTCTCTCCTCTCTTCTTCTGTTCTCTTCTGTTCTGTCCTCTTCTCTTCTCTTCTCTTCTCTTCTCTTCTCTTCTCTTCTCTTCTCTTCATTTCTCTCCTAAATGTAATAGTTTGGGATGTTCAGATATTAGCCTGTGCGTGAGCGACAGAGGATGCAGTGCAGTCGTGTGGTCATTTCAGGCTCAGTCAGATGTTTATATTCTAGTCTTTATTCTGCACTCAGAGCTGTTATACATGCCTATACAGCACTGTGAGCTGCAGCAACACGGTTAGATTTCTTCTTTAGAACAGCAGAGTTAATGAGACTGTGTGTTTATTAGATTACGGTCTGATGCCCCTGGTGGCCACAGACTGACACTGCACCCAATTTAACACTCATTCATACAGAGCGAGCTGGGGCCTGTAAAGGTGGGGGAGCTGGGGGGGTGTTGGGGGGGGGTAATGTCTCATTTGGTAGAGGAGGTGTGATAATTGTTGCTGTGTGTTTGAGATCAGACAGAAGCAGATGAACCTGTTCCTGCCTGTTTATACTTCACACACACACACACACACACACACACACACACACATAGACACACACTCACACAGACACACACACTCACAAAGACACACACACTCATACACACTCACACAGACACACACACTCACAAAGACACACACACACACACACACACACACACATAGACACACACTCACACAGACACACACACTCACACAGAGACACACACACACACACTTCTGTTAATTCAGCCCACTCACACCTCACTCTCTTTTACTGACCCGCTCTTTCTGTATATCTGTCTGTCTGTCTGTCTGTCTGTCTGTCTATCTATCTATCTATCTGTCTGTCTATCTATCTGTCTATCTATCTATCTGTCAGTCAGTCAGTCAGTCAGCCTGCCTATCTATCTGTCTGTCTGTCTGTCTGTCTAGCTGTGTCCTTTTCTAACTCTTTTGGTCACTCTTTCATCTCTCTCTCTTTTTTCCTTGTTATCTCTCATGTTCTTGAAAGAAAGAAAATTAGAAATGGAGAGAGAGAGAGAGAGAGAGTGAGAGAGAGAAAGAGAGAGAGAGAGAGAGAGAGTATACTCAATTTAATGAAGTGCACAAACAGTCCCTGCTGGTACTGACGGGTGCTGAGAGACCGTGGTGGCGATACCGTGTCTCGGTATCGGCGAGCTGTAGGTGAGCCGCTCCTGTTTGTGAGTGATGAAGATGGTTCGCTCCAGCAGCGTCACATTTATATCAATAAGGGCTTTTCTGCGGCTCTGTTTACTCCGGCAGCTCCGCACTAATGATCAACCTGGATATATAAACACGGCAGCGCCGCCTCAGAGAGACGCTCCTGCTGACGGGTGAAGTGATGAGAGCTGAGCGCAGAGAATAGATTTTAATATCAGGTGGGATGATGGCAGCGCTGATGACTGTGTGCAGCGTCTTTTATATTTATTTTAGTACAAACCTCAGTTCCAAAAGAGTGAGGATGGGGCAATTTCAGACTAGGAGCACCGTGAAATGTTCAAAAAACATCTTAAACAGGTGATGTAGTCATGTTTGAGTACAAAAGGAGCTGCTGGTGATGTATTCACTGTTACAGATGGACTACAGTAGTACAGTTTGTTCATAAACTTTAGTTTTTGCTCAGCTTCTACTTTATATTGTTAATAATAATCACAACAGTGCAACCACACCGTTAATAGTTATTAAAGACACTTCATTTGAAGCGAGATTCATTTTCATCATTTAAATTTTGTTTTAATAATTAAGTGCATCAGCTACAACTTTATATTATGTGTCATTAATAACTGTGTCACCCTCTCTCGCTTTTTCTTGTGCTAAATAATAATCCTCTATCCTCTATTTTTCAAAATATGGGTTCTCAAACATCTCACAAAATGGTTATCTAGCACTGGCAGCACTGTTTTTTTTTTTCTTCTATGCTTTCCAACCAGCGCCACCAAATTCAAGCTGCCACTTCTACGTAAAAACGTATAAACTGGGGGGTTAAGTTGCGCCTTCTAGAGTCAGTGTTTGGTTTGTCCGTTCTGGGCTACTGTGGAAACATGGCGGTGGCAGTCTCTGTTGGAAGAGGGAGGAGCTGCTCCCTATGTAGATACGAAGGTCTCATTCTAAACTAACAAAAACACACAAGTTACAGGTGGTTATATTTCAATAAAAACATGGTTTTGTGTATAATATCCCATTTCTGCTAATAGATCCTCCTAAAGCTAAATCACTGCACCTTTAATATAAAGTGGGACCCAACATTCCTCAACAAATGATTGCAAGCATTTGGAGTCTTTCATCCTCTATGGTGCCTAATTTCATCAAAACATTCAGGGCCATGACCTTCAACCCCTCAGACAGCACTGCACCACATGGGGTTTTTTTGACAAACAATAACAAACCAGTAAACACCGTTAATCTCTGCATCCGGAAACGCATGTTAAGAC